CCCCAAAACCCCAAAACCCCAAAACCCCGGAAAGAAAAATTCATATAAATTTCGGAAGAAATTATTAGGTGTTAGAATTAATTAATTAGTATTTTTCAGAAATGGGAGCTCAAGCATCCGCATGCTGTGTTTGTAGAGAAAAGGGGCCATTACCCAGTGATGTATATGATCTAGAAAATTTGAAACTTCAACATTTCAGCAGTACTCAAGCCAATAATGTTGCCGTCAATTTAAATCACTATAAAAATGTCAGGGAAGTCTAGGATGAAACTCTCCCAGAGGTGAGTCACCTGGATTTACCGAATGAGTCTGTATATTTGAACTATAATTCAATTAACGACAGTAAAATGCAAAAAAAGAGTGAGGATAAACTTTAAAGTAGCAGTAACTCACAGCGTCAAGAATCTCACCTTGATTTGGACACAATGGAGTAGAGCCAGAATAACTGGGTCTATAATTCCTTTCAAGCTCGAGTGAGAGCCATGGTATAATAATATAAGTTAAGAAAGTTGGAAAACAATAATAATGTGTCTCAAGTACCAGCGATAGTCCTTCGCAAAGACGATTCTAAGAATCCCTACCGCGGTAAAATCAAAGTCAAGCGTAGCCAGAGGAAAATTCAGGATATTCAGAAAGAATTATTCATAGAATTTTAGAAGGATTTTGAGTACCATGATTATGATAAAGTCAGGGTCCGAGCAGGTGGATTTAATTTGAATTTAAAAGATGATTCTATAACCCCAATGAATTTTTGTGACTTGGATGAGGATATAAAACTGATAAATCGTTAGGCAAATCAAGCATCTCATCATCAGAGGATGATGAGTGCAAGGAATAATACAATGAGAATAGACTCCTTGGACACTACGATGATCTCAAGGAAGTTCGAGCAATTGCACCTAAATAATAGCAGTGCGAACTCTTCTCCTGTAAGACTTAAGCTAGATAATTTAATGGAAAACTAGTAAAACTACTCTGATTTATGATTTATGATTTGGGATTGATATAAGTATATTTATATATTTAAATAAAAATTTATAAATTATCTAAACAGAATTCGTTTTATACTTTTAGTACTTAAATGGGAGCTACATTTTCTAACTGCTGCATGTCTAGAGACAAAGAGGACATAGCTGCAAGAATGAGTGAAAATTATCAAAAATAGTAATCTTTAAAAAGTAATATTTTCAAAAAATTTGAACCAAATTTAGAGCTAAAAGAGGAGAAAATTACGGAATAGGGCAATGATCATTAAGATAGAAACTTCGAACACACTCGAACTTCATCTTCTTTTTCTGTACTAAATTGACCTAAGCTCATTAATATTTAGGATAACTTTCCAAACTCTGGAAGGAAAAATTACTCAAAAGATTATAATAGTTTTGAGTCAAACATTTCTGATTGTAAGTGAATTTCTTTCTTAGACTAATTCGAATCTTATCATTTTAATAGAGTAAAATAATCCTAGAGCAAATCCACATCATTATAATGAGATAAATGGAGTGAAGAGTTCTTAGGAATTACAAAAACCCTTACAGAAATATGCAACTAATGTAATCATCTAAGAAGAATAAGATCACAACAGCAATTACGACTCAGATCAAAGTGATGGTGCTATTGTATAAAATCCTGATAAAACCGGTTCTAATTTTGATGACTCTTAAAGTAGAAGTCATAGTTAATACCAGGGCAGCAAAAGCTATATTATTGATGACCTAGAATAGAGTAATAATTCACCTGATCCAAATAAGCATGAGACCAGGAGTAGTGTGAGTGATACCGATATCATAAAAGTTCATGATTATGACTCAAACTATGATAGTAGTAGCAATTATAGCCAAGGCAGATTGAATAGAGTAGGAACTACTAAAATACGTAAAATTGGGGTAGAAAGTGTGGATGAGGAAAATGAGAATGAACATGATGATGATGGTATGATAGTTGATACTGATTTCATATAAGATTTTAAAAAATAAATGACATTCAAGAGCCAGTAATCTGAAGGTTCTGTTAGAATTATACGAAGAGGTAATAATAATGGAACAATTGATGATGATTCATTTGTGGACGATAGTTCAGGATCTAACTACACAAACACTTCTATCAGAGTTAAATCATAGTATACAAGTAGCCAACAATAGTCTAGCGGCTTGAGAGTTAAGTCAGGACCAATGTCTCATTAAAATACTGTAACTTCAGTGAGAGTAAACGAAGACGAGCAAGAAGAATCAGACAATGATAGTTCTTATACCAATACCTCTGTCAAGGTAGGATCATTCTCAAGAAGGACATCTGTTTTATCAAATAACGTTGTCCAAAACTAAAGCAGGAACTTAATTTAACCAGGCCATAGATCTAATCAGAACTCTATCCATTAAAAATATTCTAACTAACTGGAAATGAGATCAGGCAATTCTCAAAGAGATAGAGTAGGAACATAGAGATAACTCCAATTAAAAGGATCTAAAAGAAATTTTTAGTCTTAATCAGAAGACTCAGACTCAAATTAAAACATGAATTCTAACTCTGATAGAAATATTCAAATGGACTCAGATAGATCAATCAATAAAATTGATCAATACTCTAACAGTCCCTCTCAATCTTAAACATCTATTAGGGCAATTAGTGACATTCATAATTCTAGAAACTCTGACTAAGAGAGACCTTCATCATCTCATGATTCCGATTCAGTTTAGATAAGTAGCTCTGATATGACAGAAAAGAGTCAAAGTTCTAAATATGATAGATCAAGACAGTAATAAATACCTAACCAGAAGGCGAGATAAAATAGAGGTGGATCTGTTAAGCAATCTAAGGTATAAAACATGAGATCCAAATCTCCAATTGTTATAGATTCGATCTATGAGCAAGAGGAGAGTATGCTTGAGAGCGAGCAAACCATAATTATAGATGCTTAATGATTAATCCAAAATAAACTTAGGAGCAACTAGAATTGTTTTCCAGAATAAGATAAATCCCTTTTACTTAATTATAAGCAAATAAATCTAGCTATAGCTTTTTTAAATAACAAGAGTTTCACTTTAATTTTAAAGCAATAAATTCTGATAGCCGGGGTTTTGGGGTTTTGGGGTTTTGGGG